TTATGGGTAAACCGATTTTTATTCACAATGGATTTAAATTTTATTTACAAATCTGTATTTGTATGTTCATATTATACAGGTTTGTTAATTCTATTTTTAGGCTCCAGTGATGGTAAACTATTGGCGTAAATTAAATGAAGGAGGAATTCTGGAAGAACCGTTAGCACGCTATTTGTGGAGAAATGAACTTAAAAGCAGTGAAGATGATGACGACGTCGTTTTCAAAGACTTCATTGAACTTATGAAGGCGTTTGGACTTCTCTTTGAAAAGGTGTGGCCTATTAGTAGTGGTACCTCTTTTTTATACTTTCGATCCCCACAAAATAAACGATTACTGCATGTAATGTCTTAGGTCGTATATTTGAGGCTCTTAATTTTTAGCCCATTTGAAAATCCTGTTGTTTTAATTTTGTGATTGATATATTTTTAGGAAAGTGGATAAAGAGAATGAGGTTGTAGAAATCGTGAGGAAACTAATTCAGCTCTCCTTACATTCTAAAGTTGCCAGGGTTGTTTTCTTTTCATTGTTTACAGATCAAGAAAGCAGCATCAGAAGATGACCCTCGAGTATTTGTCGTTCCATCTCGAATGAAGTCCAAAGATGATGATAGATTGGAAGTTAAGGAAGATGAGAAGCAGACAGTATCCATCTATGTGACGCCTAAAGACTTTCTTCCCGACGCCGTCTACGATATCTTGGTCGTCAGATTTGTGAGTTTGAGTCAAGAGAATGGTTATTGTGATGACCCAAAGTTGTTTCAGAATCAGGCTAAAATTCTATTCGATGATAAGCATTACCTAAGACTAGGTCGAATATCAATTGATAATAAACGTTCTTTGAAGGTAAGTATGCCTTTTATTTTTGAAATGTATGCGTAGGCCTATATGTACAGTATGTTTTCATTATTATTCTGTTTATTTACTTTTTTAATTATATGGTCACCGTTGACGTTTTTGATGGATATTCCTTATTTAAAACAAGTATCTTAACCGCTAAGCAACAGCTCCACTCCATGATTAAACAAAAAGAATACACTATACAACTCAGTTATTTGAATATTGTTTGTAATTTAATTTTTTTTCATTTTAAAGCTTGAAATATCACGGATGAAAGAGAGAGGCGCAGACGGCACAAACAAGTCAGCTTGCAAGCCGCATCCTGATGTCTGTAAAGAGGTAATGATTTAATTCATTGATCATTGGTGATCTGAGATTATACTTAATTTAGATTTGATACCAAATGGCTAATTATATTATAATTGAATTTGAAGTAAAACATTCGTATTACATTTTACAGGTTTTGCAGGTTTTAAAGCAACACCTAGGTGAAGTATATCCATCTAAGAGAGTTGTCGATTATGCTCTGAAAATCCTTTGCTTAGTCTGTTCAAACACTGAGGAACCACACTTTCAAGAACTTGAGTACTGCTTAAAGAACGAGAATATGACTTGTGACAAAACTGGTGAACTTATAACGATGCCGGCAGCTAATGTACAGAAGCTATTTGCAGCTGGTATGTGTTTGGGCTATTGAAATAATAATTCATAAAATGATTAGATAATTTTGAATGAAGTAAATACCAATTTAGGTACAGAAACGATTGTAAACACAATTAGAGAATTCAAGATTAAATAATTTCCAAATTATTTTGTCATTTTAAAGATTAGTCTGTTGTCAAAAAAGAAAATTTTCTCAGTTAATTTTATAATTAAATTTTATTTTATTTTATTTGTTGGGGCTATTTTTTGCACTGTATTGTCCTTCACAAAATTGACTACAGCAACTGTATTAAGTACACTGGTCTGCAACACAATTTTTATCAAGGATTTTAAATGTATGTGTAATAATTGTAACAAAACTTTTACATAACTATAATGTGAAACAAATAATTATTTATATAATTACAGGTATTCTACATAAATCCTCAGTTACGGATACGGCTCATCAATCCTCGGCTATGAATAAAGGTTGGTAGATACACTTATACTGTAAAACGTATAAAGCAGGTGGACGTTGATGTCTTCCTACTT